CCCCTTACCGCCCCCTTCTCTTCCTCCTCGCCCTCCCCCCTCCTCCCCACCACCGCGCTCCACGACGGCGGCGCGCTCCGGGCGGTGCCAGCCGCCGTACTGTCCTCCCCCGCCACCTCCGTATCCTTGAATTTGCCCCCCCCCTTGACCGGCTCCCCCCGTGCCCCCCCCGCCCGGGCTGGGGGCGTGGGCGTGGCCATCGGAACAGGCGGGGGCTCTCCAGGGCCCGGAAGGCCCGCTTTGCCCCCCACCCCCATCACCTCCCCCTCCATCCCTTTCTTTTTCCTCTCCCGCCGTCGCCCCCGCCCTTCCTCCTTACTCCCAGCCCAAGCCTCCTTTCCGCCCCGCTCCATTCCCGCCTGCGCCACGGCACCAGCTTCCACCTCCTCCTCCTCTTCCTCCTTCGTCTCCTTCCTTTCTTGCACACCAACGCCCTCCTGGCCCCGCATGGCTTCTGCTTGGACCCGTGCGATTGCCATCGCCCCCTCTTTCTCGGCGGCGGCCGAGGCCGTCACCGGAGAAGCCTCCGAGCGAGGGGGATCGGGCGTGGGGGGGCCGGGGGAAGAGGGGAAGGAGGGAGGGTGCGCGCTGGGGGTTTCTGGCCAGGCGCGGAAGACGTCGTTCAGAAGGTAGTAGTGCGCCTCGTTGTTCTCCTGCTGGGCCAAAAAGAGGTCTGGACAAAGGCCGAGGGGGCGGGCGCGCTCCGGCGCCGCATGAGACCCTGAACGAGGACGAGCACGGCCCCGTCTTTGGAGGGCTGCACGTCCACGCTGCGAATGTCCACCACGGCGCCGCCCAGGTTCAAGGCTTCGATACGCGCCCGGATCTCCTCAAGCCCAACGGCAGCTTTACTGTCCTGGCCCTCTGGGGGTGTGGGAGATGACGCGTGTCGGGGCGCTTGAGTAGACGGTACCTTTGCCGGCTGGGAAAGCAGTGCGTTCCTGGAAAGTAACTCTTACTAAAAAAATCCACAACAGACTGGCATCGCGTTTGAACTAAACCTGGTCTCCGGACCCCAGCGCCCTCCCCTTCCTGACCTTGCCCCCCCGAATCCCTCCTACCTTCGGTCTCAGGGACGTGCGAGAAGCATGAATCCTCTTTGTAGAACTTGATGAGATCCTCCGCAGACTTTGACATTACAGGGTAATATGTCAAGACAAACCTGCGACAGCCAAAAAAGAAAATATCATTCAGAGTCATCGGGCGACATGGAAGGCCGCAAGTGCTGCCCCAACCACGAGTACGCTTTCAAGCGAAATGGACTCAGAGAAGAGGGCAAGGAGTGACAGTACCTGCGGCCAACTTTTTCTGGTGTGGGCTTTTTTACATAGCTGCTATTCGTCACGCATTTGCTACTACTATTCCCGCTATTTGTGTTTCGGGTCTCGGAGCTACTTTTGGTGCTCTTCGTCGAAGCCATCAAGCCGCCTGTTTGCAAGTTGCCAATTTAGTACATGGAAGTTAGAAGGCATGATCATTGTAAGCGTGGATTCAGGCATCGAAGGCGTGCCAGCGCGACCATGCGCACCCGCAGGAAGCACATTCGTATGCACAGGTGCAGCAGAAATTGGTGAGGGGGCCTAAGCCCACCTTGAAGGGTGAACGAGGAGGCGGATTCCTCCCCGCAAGATTACTGGACGAGGGCAGGCCCGGCCTACCTCTTGTCGCAAACACTATAACCAGCATAGCGAGTTGTCGACGCAGTAAGTGCCGGCATCGGCACGCGGGGATACGCTCGCGGTTCTCCGCATGGCTGGCAGGGTGGCAAGAAAAGGCAGCATGGGGTGTGGGCGAGAGCCTGTCTCCGGTGCTAGCAGGCGACAGGAACACCGTGACGGTCGCAGACATACGACGGAAAGCCTACGAAAACTTACCACCCTGCTATGTACAGCAAGTTTTACACAAATCACACGCGCATGCCTGAAAATGTGTGCTGGGCGCCTGTTTTGCCACCGACTCGGGATGTGTCTTGCGAGCTCAGGGCAGACGTTCCCCCCCTCTCGTTGCACTCTTCTATGCGGGATGCTCGCGCCTGCTCACGAGCACTATTACCCATTCTTCCAGTGCACTCCCTTACTGGTACGTGCTGGCGCCGACTCACTCACGGTAATCCATGCTTCATTTTCCGACAGAGCAGTGGGTCCAAGGGGCATGTCGGAGATTGACAGCCTGTTCAGTGCGCTCGGAGAGACGGGCGATGTGGACGCAGGTGAGAGGAGAACATGGAATCGGCAAAGCGGAGCTTCATAAGTCCTCTCCCAAAATTTGCGAGGAGTTCAGTAGCTCAGACTATGACCTAAATCTCGTAAATTTCGTCTGCAGTATCCTATTTCAGTGTCCATATTTCTCTCTTTGTCCCTGATTTCTTCGATTCTCATCCTTTCCCTTAAAGATCTGAGCATTCTGGAGGCCCTTTGTGGTCTTGAGGGCGTTGATGCCTCTGCCGCCGCTGCCGCCGCTGTTGAAGAAGAGCAATCGGACGATGATGAGGACGACTCTTTCGATGGAGAAGGGCAGCCGCGAAAAAAGCGGGCACGGCGGACGCGTACAGAACTCAATGAAATTGAAAAGCAGCGGACCCGTCGAATCAACGAGCAGATCCAGTCGTTGCGCTCTCTTCTCGAGGCTTCAGGTTTAAACACCAAAAAGGACAAGTTTTCAATCTTAAAGAAGTGCGTGACTGGGGGGAAGCAGAGACGAGATGTCAGGCAGCACGTTCTGTGTTTTCCATGAAAAAAGGTGCCTCGTTGAGAAATTTATGGTGCCCAGGGAATCTAACTGTGTTACACTACCCCACGACAGTACCACGGAATACTTAAAGAAGCTTAAACTGCTTCTAAATAAATCGCAAGCTCAAATTCAAGCGCTGGCAGCCAACCGGAGGGCAGCCGCCGCGACAGCCGCAGCAGCTAAAGCCGCAGCAGGTGCAGCGCCCACTCAGGCCTCGACGTCCATCATGCCAGTATCGCCGGGAAATGCGCTGGGAGACACGAAGTACTACGTGGAAGTAGACTCGAACGCGGGGAAAGAGAGCAGCAACGGCTCGTTGCCCTCCGGGCCAGCTCTGGGGATGATGATCCAGCGGCCCCCCATCGCCCCCGGCACCCTGGTCGAGGCGGGGTCGTGGGCGCCGAACAAGAAGAGCGCCGATTATGCGCTCATGTTCCAGAATGCCTCCATCGCCATGGCGGTCGCCAGTCTAGACGGGAAATTCGTCGACTGCAACTCGGCCTTCTCCATTATATCCGGGTATTCGAACGGAGAAGTCCTGCAGCGCTCTGTGTTTGACTTGACCCCGGCGGAGGACTGTCAGGAGCTGATGGGCATCGTGGGCAAGATGATGGAGTCGCCCGCTGAGTCCGCGAAACATTTTTGGAAGCGCTGCTGCTTCGAAAACCGCGACTGCCACTGCTTCGTCTCCATGTGGCTGGTCCGCAAGGCTTCAGGCGAGCCGGTCTTCTTCCAGTGCGCCGTCTTGCCTCTGGAAGACTACCCCATGGCCTCCAAATCCGTCACTCACGACGCCTCCTCTGTCCCCGATGACGGGAACGCTATTGCGGGACCGGCGGGGGAGGGGGAGGGCTACCTGGCATTGGAGGATCGTGTGGAAACCAGCGAGGCAAATGCCCTTTTGCAACCGCCACAGCAGCAACTCGAGCACGAGCGGCAAGAGATGCCGTGCGAGACCGAGAAACAAAGAGTCATGGAATCTGCACTGGACCCGGCGCTGGATTCTGGAAACGCTTATTTGCAGGTACGCGACGACGGCGAGACCTCTCTGGACACAAAGTAGAAGGAGGCGTTGAAGTGAAGGGGAAGAGGGCTCTGAGGCGAGGGAAGAGGACGGAGCAGAATTGCAAGAAGGAAGGACCCACTAGAGGATGAAGAGGAAAGATAGTCGGGGCACATGGTCGTGCCTCACGTTTCAAGCGCCATAAAAGGGGTCTCGCCCTCACTTTCATGTATGTATGTATAAGGAGACAAACAGGCTGCGAAAAGGCAGTACTGATGAAAAAAGGGAGATCGAGTCTTCAACGAAAGGTATGGGTGCCATGGTTTAGAGAAAATTTAACCATGTCGTGACTAAAAAGCTTGAGTGGCAGCAAGCTTCGCTGACATGAGGCCGCAAAGCCTTCCAAGGGGTCGCACCGTGAGAAAATCATCAGACGCCCAAAGCAGATTGATGAAAAACGGGGACTTAATGGAGCGAAGGGTTTCATTGAAGTTTGAATGGCATCATCGAAAGTTGAACGCTTTAATTGAAATGTAATGTGTGAAAGGAAAGACGGCGGGAAAGCTGGGCTGGCCGTGGGCGGTGACAGGGCTGAGCGAGTGCGCGAAGGGGAGCGGTCCACGGCTGCTGAATAGTGAGGTGTATGGATCAGCACGCGGGTCTTGACTTGATGATGTATTTATTTCAATCTGTACTTGAGCATGACGGAAATTACTGCAGGACTTGCAAGGCGACCGAGTTCCCCCTAGATGTGGGTTAGACGTCTGGATGCGAAGGAGGCGGGCAGTGAAGTGCGATCGCGTGGTATTTTCGCGTGCCATGAGGGGGTGAGGTGCTGCTACACACGAGGACCCGACATCGGGCGAGGCGTTGTGCAGCAACGAAAGAAAAAAACACACGCAAGAATTCCTTACATGCGCGTCTTCGATTCGACAGTCAACAAAGTGCTAATCATGCAGTAGTCAGGCGTGCTTCATTTTACTCTCCCGGAATCCCCTGCCGAAACAGTTCGCAAAGGTCGACGGTCATGGTCGGTCAGTTCATGCCGTACACTCGTGATCCCTCGACCGAAGCGGTCGGCACGGTCGCGCACCCCCCTCTGCGTTCCCGTGTTCAGGGTCACGCGCCGCTCCCTCATGCTGTAGGCGGGGAGGGCTGATCCTGCAGCCGTGGCAGCCGCCGCTGGCGGGGCTATGTTCCGGTCGGGGAGGTGTGAAAGAAGGCTTGGGTCCACAAATTTGACGCAGCGCTCGTAAAGGGGCAGGGACAGGACGCGGTGGGGAAACCCCTGGGAGACAGGGTCGTAGCCGAAGGCGCGTAGCCCGCCCCCGGCAAGTCGAGCCACGTCCTCCACTAGGGCAGGCGAGAAAAAACGTAGACTCTTGCCGATGTTTCCTTTGTCTGGGCATGCGTGTGAGCGTGGTGGAGAACGAGAGGAAGGAGGCGGGGGGACCTCGGGGTGTGTGCCCGCTGGTGTGACGGGGCTGGTGACGCTGGAATCGATCGCACCTTGGTCCTCGCCCCGGGGCCCGTCGAGCACGAGCTCCGAAAAGGATATAGGCGGGATAATCGGAGGCGATCGTATGGCAGCGGCGCTCTTGGCGATGCGGGCCATGTGGGAGCGCGAGGCCCTGATTGCCTCGCGAGGAGTGCTCTCCAGGAAGCTGACGAGGCGCACGAGCATCTCCTCGGTGTGCAGCAGCAGGTCTTCGTACCGAACCACCAGCACAGGCAACTTTTGCGTGAGCCAGTAGGCGTTAAATTTAGCCCACACCCTGGCCTCGTTGCGGGCCATGTCCTCCCAGAGCGGGGCCAACGACTCGAACACGTCGCTGGCCAGTCTCTCCTCATGTGTGTTGGTGAGTCCCATGTTGAAGTAGGAGTAGATGGCATCGAATGGGTTGCGGACCAAAAGAATGATTCGTTGGGCAGGGAACCGTCGGTAGCCGTGGCGTTCAGGCCAGTGGCTCTTCACTATCCATGCTCGTTCGTCCACCACGCCTTCGCCGCGCAAGCCTCGTTTGAGCAAGCTCCGACTCAAGACACGGTCTGGCCGCGTGTCACTGCCCGTTACAATCCCCGTCGCCTCTTCCAAGAGCGTTCGTAACATTGAGTTACCCGATCTTGGGTAGCTCAAGAGTGCAACAGTTTCTCCGCCACGCTCCCCCGGGAATAAAAAGCGCGGACGGCTCAACCCTTCCAGACCAGCAGACGGGGCTTTTTCCCCATTGAACCCATGATCATCACTGAGAATGCTGGCATTGCATGGGACGCAGACTGCTGGTGTATTTACCGACAAAGACGTACTGACTGTCCCACAATGCACAATGGTGTGCAGGACGAGGAAATGATAAGAGTGGGCAATGGCGAAGCATTTCCGATCCTGTTCATTCAGAAACCCAACCATCGTGGCGAGCAAATCTAGGTTACAATCATGCAAGGTAAGATGAAGTCCCATTTCCCTGTGAATGTTGTAATTTTTTACCTGCAGAGTGAGGTTTACTCAAGGACGAGAGAGGTCGTTTAGCATGTGGATACTTCCCCCCGCTCCTTGCCGTTATTTGAATAGGGGGTAGGAGGTTATTGCTGTCCCGTGCTTAGGCCATTGAGGTCATTTCATGTTGCGATGGAAAATGGTTGTGTGCGACGGTAGGCGAGTTGTGTTGAAAGAAACGGATTTCGGGGCTCGATAGGAGGGGAAAATTCTTGTCATGCTCCCTGGGCTTGTCTTGCTTGCTTATTCAATCTTGAGATAAATCGGGTCTCAAGAAAGCGTCATCAACGTCAGACGTTGCTTCATGTCAACTCTTGGGAAAGTAGTAAAGGTCTATATTCAAAAATGTAAATGAAACGTGACAAAAACTCTGTCGCAGGGACTCAACGTGCTTGATCTTTAGGTTTTAACATTGATACACCGTATAATAGCACCATGTAAAAGAATACCATACTTAATACCACTGTCAAAACACAGCATCTACATGACGAGACAAGAAGGATGTTCAGCACGTCATATTGCAAAGACAGCAGCCTGGACTATACTCTCTTTGTCGATTCGTTCTTTTGCGTATTCGCGACGTGGTGTGGCAATGGCAAAGCCCTTGAGCGCCTTTGGAAGTGCTCCTTCTACGGGAAAGGCCGGTCTGCTAGGGTTACAGACGCCCTATCTCGTATACGTAACCCCGCCTGTCCCGGCTAAGGGCGTGCAAGATGCTTGGTTCGAAAAAGTGAGCAATCTGTACAGACATGCGTGTATGTCATAATGCTTATTTCTCATTGCATTAACCCTCACAGATCAAGCAATGCGGCGAAGCCGGAGTTCCGGTTGTGCAAATTCGCGACAAAGAGATGCCATCTGAGGTGAGCGAGTAGGCTGAAGGGCGTTATGACTGACTGTTGACTTTTTTTTTCCTGCGTCGATACATTCCAGGCTTTAAAATCCGTAGTCGTTCGGTGCCGGGAAATCCTTGATACTGCCAGCGTCCCTTCCGGGAGCCCGAAGACCCTTCTGTTCCTCAACGGAAATCCTGAGCTTCGGGAGTACTCAGATGGGATTCACTTTCCTGAATCTTCGCTCCACTTAGTGCCCTCCATGCGCACGGATCGTAAGAGGGGGAGTGGACAGGGGCCTGTGATGGGTGCCTCCGTACACAGTGTGGTGCGTGCGAGAAAGAAGCGGGAGGGAAGGATGGAGGAGGTTGTCTCAGTAGAAAATCCCGTCCAAATACCACTTTCGATGCCTTTACCTATCTTCATATCTAGGAGGCGGCCGTAAAAGCCGCAAGCAGACGTGTCGACAACCTGCAGGTACGTGGGAGCTGGAGCACTCGCATCTCACGTCCTGGTCCGTCGCCGACTGGGCCTAGCTTATCCCTTTCGACCCAATGCCTTCAAGCAGGTGGGCACTATGTTTCCAACAGGCAGTCACCCCGAGAAGCTTGAGGTCGAAGGCCCAGCCTTGATGGCGGACGTGGACGCGGCGCTTCGACAAGCCTGCCTCCGCGAACGGGTCCATCTCTGTGGCATCGGGGGAATCACGCCACTCAATTGCGGTAATGTCCTGCGTGCGGGTGCTGACAGCGTTGCGGTCATCAGTGGGATCACCTCAATAGAAGGTAGCGTTGCGCGAACAGTGCAAGCCTTCCGGGATACGTTTGCGAGAATGGAGGAAGAAGAGCGCCGGGCTTTGAGTAATGATACGTAAAGCATAGCAATAAAAATGGATATGTGAATAAACTTAGCATGGCACGTAAAAGAGACCGGATTAATGATTTTGGAATGTGCTCCATGTCGAGCGACTGACGTAGCCCAATCAAACATCATTTTGTAGAAATGCTAGGTTCTACTCATCCTATTTGGAACAATGCTTGACTTAAACGAGCATTTGCCATCGATTAGAATTTTTCATGTGCGAGAAGTAGATTGAGAGACACAGCAATCGGCTTCCTGCTAATCATCGATGTGTACTTAATAGTCCCAAGGCTCTCTCCCGAGGAAACGAAGTAGACCCAGTGCCATGCGACCTCAAAAATCCTTTTTACATTCAGGAAAAGGGAATCAAATCATTTCGTTCTCATGGCTTTTTGTTTTTGTTTTTTTCCTATTTTAAAAAAAAGTTTTTCGGAGGTAATTAGGAAATATCGTTGATCGAAAATGTCTCTTCTACGCCTTTCACTCTATCCTCCGACGTTTTAGTAATACTAGATGACACTAATCTTACAAAAGAGATACGGGGGGCTTTAAAGCGTCATAAGCTGCGCGATGCTTTCTGAGACACTACGATGAAATGGAGCGCATTTCCTCTTCCAGAGACTGACTGTTCTTACTTGATACGAAGGCCACCTCAAAAATCTATGCCTGGTGTCGAGTCATTGAAATCAAAAAGACACGCACCGGGTGGTGGAAAGTCGACAATACGACCAGACGAGTAGTAAACGTAGGCCAGACCAAGTCATTTAACCTCCCCCCTTCCACGGCCGTCGACCGCACAGACTCGGAAGTTGAGCGCTCAAGTCTCGACACAGGACGCCGAAGGGTTCAGTTTCGCAACGACAGGTCCATTTCGACAACAACAATTGTTTGTTGGATTCTTATCTTGTTAATAGGGTGCCGTGAGATACGAGAGCTTGATGGTCAGGTTTCCATTTTGAGGGCTGACTTCTTGCTTTGTGGCGTCTTGACTTCTCCCTCATGCCTTCCCCTCTACTGCATCCGCCTTTGTTATAACCACGACTAACTCATACCTATCTGATCACCATAATACTTTAGGCATCTATAGCATGGATGAAGGCCCTGAGGACGAGGCAAGGCGGACTGGCGCCGATGATAGCGCCCTGGCCACGGTTCCGGAGAGTTCCGGCACGCTGGCAATAAGCAGTGCTCCCCCAGCCCCAGGACGGACGTCGCACTTGGCCGCATCTACCATGCTTTTGACCGGTCATGCTGCAGCCGTGTATTGTCTGCAGTTCAATCCCATGGGGGACGCTTTGGCAACGGGGTCTTTTGATAAAACAATATTGCTGTGGGACGTATATGAGGTACGTCGTCGTTGTCTCCCCCCCCCCCGCGAGTTTCCTTATCCCCTCGTGGCGCACTTTAGGTTCGTTTCAGAATTTCGTCAGATCAAGCATCCTCTTACCTTTCACAACCTTGGGATGTACGATATGATGCATGATAGGATTGTAAAAATTACAATGTACTGGCTGGGCATACGAACGCTGTGTTGGATCTGAAATGGTCGCCAAATGGTTGCCAAATCGCTTCGGCATCGGCCGATAAGACGCTCATGTTATGGGACAGCAACAAGGGCACTCGGATCCGTAAATGCAAGGAGCACACTGGATGCGTAAACAGTGTGGCCGTGGCGGGCGACAAAGTCGCGGCGTTGATAGCCACGGCAAGCGACGATCGCACTGTGAAGCTGTGGGACAACCGCAGCCGGCGATCGGTTCAAACAATCGAGCATCGCTTTCAGTTGCTGGCGGTAGCGCTGTCCGCGGATGGGAAAAAGGTGTTCGCGGGCGGCATCGACAACAGCATCCAGGTCTGGGACATGGCCAAGGGACCGGCTCCTCTAGACGTGCTCGAGGGCCACTCGGAGACGGTCACGGGCTTGAGCCTGAGTCCCGACGGCAAGTATTTGCTGTCGAACGCCATGGACAACACCGTGCGGCAGTGGGACGTGCGGCCCTTTGTGACGGGAGGGCGGCTGGTCCAGGTCTTCCAAGGAGGGACACACGGCTCGGATCGCAACCTCTTGCGCTGCGCCTGGTCGCAAGACGGCGAGATGGTCTCTGCGGGCTCCGCAGATCGCGCGGTTCATGTATGGGATGTGCCTTCGGGTCAGGAGCTCTACTACCTGCCGGGACATAAAGGGACCGTAAATGAGGTCGTCTTCCATCCCCGGGAGCCTGTGATAGCCTCTGCGTCTTCGGACAAAACGTGCTATTTGGGGGAGCTTGCCGGATGATAACTCTTATCGTTAATCATCGTGGAAGATAAAAACTGAGAATTTGAGTATTAGGCGACGGTTCCATGCTCTTTCTGTGTTTCATTTTAAGTAGAGTAGAACAGCAACAGCAATGTAATTGCTCTGTTTGTACAGCACGGGCATTTTTCTTATTTTGTATCTCACTCTTTCGCATTTTGAACGACAAAGAGCGAAACACCAACAATGGAGGATTGAGAAGGATCTCCTGGGGGGTCAAGTCCCAGGGACTTGAGATGATCGCGGAATACACCGCGGAGATGCTCCAGAGTCGCCGCAACACAATCTTCCTGCGATCCGAACCCGTTACCGACCCCAAACGACAGCTTTTGCGCCTGGTCTTCATTCTCATGCGCCTCTCCAAACGTTGACATGCCCACTTCGTTGATGCCGGTCAAAGGGGACTTGAGGTCGGCGCAAGTGAAGTCACGCAGGAATTCATAGAGCTCGACCTGGATGTCTGCCTGTTCGCAACAAACTGCCACTTTGCACAAAGCCTGAACAGCTTCATACTGGGTGAAGCAATCTGAAAAGAGACTCAGTGTCTTCAACCGGAGTACTATCACGCCTAGCTGCTCGGTTGTGAACCGCAACGCGTGCTCGCCGAGGAACCAGGACGCTAGGCGCAAGAGTCGAGCGTAGATGGCACGCTTTTGGGTACAACTCGGCTCCTGAACCTGCCCTTGGGTCTGCCAAACCGCCTGAGGACGAATACCAGCTTTGAAATAAATGTGGGTGTTGCCGCTCGCCGGTTTAGGACAGAAATCGAGGTCCAGCACACAAAATATTGCGGCCAGAAGCTCCGCTTGAATGACGGGATCGGAGGGCCTGGGAGACAGAAGGCCTTCCCAGGTCTTGATGAGATATTCAGCCATTGCATCCGTAGGGGCAACATTGAAATATATGCGTGAAGTGCGAGAGAGCAAGGAGGCCAAGATTCGGCTGGAAGGGCCCGACGAGGAAGAGACGGCTTGCACGCTCATACGGTCTCGTCCCTCCTCAAGGAGGAGTCCGAGCTGGACGTCTGTGAAGTACGCAGGCGCTTCAGCTAGGCGTCTTTCCAAGTCTTGCCACAACTGGCTCTCATCGGAGGTGCTCAAGGACGTTAAGCTAGAGAGCACAGGCTCCCCTCCAGGCTGCGATAGGGAGAGAGCTGAAAACGAAATTCTGCTGTTGTACCTGTTGCTAGCATTGCTGGGAAACGAGGCTCGAGGTAGCGATGGTACGAGCCAAATCAGAGTTTGTAATAAGGACAGACGTAGCTGTGTTGAGAGTGTTTTTGAAGACTCGAGTGCATCCGCCCTGCTCGTGATAGTGTTTCTCAGCCTCTTCAAGAC